ATTATCCTGATTAAATGATCTAAATCCCTCTGAGATAATAAACCGGTCTTCGTAGTCATCCTCCGCGATTAAAATTACGTTTTGCTTCATTTTTCGGTCTTATTGGGATTGTTTCAACGGCAGTTTAACGATAAATGTAGCGCCTACACCCGCGGCACCAACGGCAGATATATTTCCGTGATGTAATTCAGCAATTTTTTTACAGATAGCGAGACCTATTCCGGTGCCTTCGTATTTGTCCCTTGGATTCAGTCTTTGGAAGAGGTCAAACATTTTGGACAAATATTGATTTTCAAAACCTATGCCATGATCGGCAAAAGTGATGGTAACAAAATCTGCAGTTACTTCAGCTGAAACAGATAATTCCGGTGGTTCTCCATGTTTATGAAATTTTAGTCCATTAGACAGAAAGTTTTCGAAAAGCTGTTTCATCTGACGCGGGTTACCTTCAATTTCTGGTAATTCGGAAATTGTAATTTGCGCGTTCTTTTCCCGGATAGGAATTTCACAATCCTGAATAACTTCTTCGATGATATTATTGAGGTCGATAGTTTCAAAACTAGTGCTGCGAACGGTGGAATAGGCCAGAATATCCTGAACCAAAATTTTCATCCGCTCCGACGCACTCATGAGGTTATTGAAAAATAGTTGGGCTTCATCAGGAATTCTATCTTTAAAACGGGTACTTAGAAAGTCACTGTAGAACGTTATTTTTCGTAATGGTTCCTGCAGGTCATGAGAAGTTACATATGCAAACTGCTCCAGCTGCCGATTACTCTCATTAAGGAGTAGCACTTTTTCTTCTAGCTCACTTTGTATTTTCTTTAAGTGATCATTGTCTTTTAACGCCTGCTCCATGAGCTTTCGGGCATGAATATCAACCATAAAACTATTCCAGTATTTGATTGCGCCCAAATCGTCCGTTATTGCAATTGAAATGCCTGTATGCCACCTATATTCACCGGTTCTAAAATCTCTCAGCCTTTGTTCAGGTATAATCATTGAAGTGGCCACATCGTCAGTATGCCATTGTACATCAAAATCATCCGGGTGGACCAATGCCCCCCATCCGGCATCATTTATTTCGTCCAGGGAAAGCCCAAGATAACTATAGAACCACTGATTGGCATACGTAATTCGATTGCAACTTGAAGTCGTATAGATCATTAAGGGCAACGAATTCGTTAGGGATTTGTATTGTTGCTCGCTTTCCTGCAATCTTTCGGCCATTTCAGCCAGCTGCCGGTTCTTACGCTTTATTTCTTCATAAGGGGTTATTGCAGGGTCTTGGTTTAATATGATATGCCATTTCCCAAGTAGTGCGTCATCAATCCTGGTGGAGGCCGGCAGTCTGTAATTTAATTCAATTCTTGTGCCCTTATCGTTAACTACAGAATTGATATTGTTAACC